AGGGAGGGGGGCCAAAGGCCCGGGTTTGGGGGTTTTCCCTGGAACCTGCTGGGGGGTGGTTCTTTCCCTCCCGGCGGGGGCTTTCCAAACCCCGGGGCTTTCCACAACTCTCCGGACCCACATCGGCCGGGCGTCGCGGCGTGGAGCCCCCCCCCCCACCCAAAGGAGCTTGCGAATTGGGGGGGGAACCCCGGAGGCACTGTGGGCTGCGTGTCTGTCAGTCTGTCTTCTTTCTGCCCCTGTCAGAGAGACACTTCTGCTCCCCGCCCCCTTTCTCTCTACCCAGGAGAGATTCCCTGCAGGCGGAGGGGGCGCTGACCAGGGGAACGCCTCCTACGGAAGGTTGCCCAGATCCCCGCGTCCCTCCCCCCAGCTCAGGGTTTTCTCCGCAGACCAGCTCCCCCCCCCCACCCACCCCCCCCGCAGCACGCCCCCCCCCCCCCACCCGCGGTTCCCTTTCCCCACCTCCACCCCCTGGCCAAGGCAAGCACGTCACTGGGCGGTGGAGCTGGGAGGCAGGGGGGAGGGGGTAGCGCTAGGGGCCGTCACTTAAATTGCCCCACCTCAAACAAACCTGGTGTCCCCGGCCCTCGCCCATCGCCTGGAGGCGCGGGGTTCGGGGACTGGAGCTGACTTTCCAAGGACATCACAGCCCCAGCACCCGAGCCCAGGGTCACGCTGATCTCCCCTCTGATGCTTCAGGGAGGGTGTGGGCAGGGAGCGTCCTGGGTGAACTGAGCCTGAACCCCCGCGGGCCCAGCTGGCCTGGAGGGGGCGAATCCCGAGGCGCGAGCAGCCCCGCGGGCGGGAGGCTGGGCTGAGGCTGTCCTCCTCCCGGAGCTCAGCCATGCAAAAGTGCACTTGCTTCCTCGGGAATAACCAAATATCTTTGTTTAAAGTGGCAGCGTAAATGGCCGGTCGCTTTGTGGCCACGCTGGATATTAGTAGATGAGGATCATTCTGCTTCAATTGGACGCCTCTCATCCAGCGAGCAAGAAACTGCTTAGGAGGAAGTGGGTTTCCTGTCTGCGCGTTCCCAGGCTTCAAGTGTGAGCCCGGCGCCTGGAGGGTCCTTGGGCGCCTGGAGAGGAGGAGCTGCGGACTGCGATCCCCAGCCAGTCCCGAGGCATCTGCCTCCCACTCCAGCCAGGCCCCGGCCCCTGGCCGAGCGGACTACAGAGCAGCGTAGCTCTGCGCGGTGCAATACCTGAGACCCACTCTGATTCTGCCCATGGATTTTAACCGCTTTGTTTTGTTTTGTGTTCTCTTTGGCAGCTTTAGCTTCCTCTCCGGCCTTGGGGCTGGGAGGGGGGAGAGCTCTCCGGAGGCTGGGGCCTCCAAGACACTGCGGGGGCCGGTTAAGGAGGATTCTCGAATTTGGTTTTTGTTTTCCAATTTTATTTCCCCTCCTTGTAGAGGAGGAACTCCCAATGATGAACAGGCGCTTTGACGATATAATTCAGCAGCTTAGGCGCCTTTTCCATTAATAGCAATTGTAGTAGCAAAGTTTTTTTTTATTGGCTTTTTATTTCAATCCTCTCCTTGAGGACTGCTCTGTACTCCCTCAGTACAAAGCCAACTTCTATACTAACATTTGCTTTCCTTGCCACCTACATCCCTTACTAGGCAAGAGAAACAAGGGAAAGCTCAGGGCACCCCCTCTCCCCCCCAGCCCCCCTGTTGGCCCACATTTCTGTGCAGCCTCTTGTGGCTTGGGAGCAAGCAGCCTGTGTATTGGCGTGCAGAGAGGTGCTTCCGATTGTGCTGCGAAGACAAATGCCAAGCCGGTACCTTGCCCTTCCTTCCAAAGGGCTTCCCTGGGGGGGGGGGGGGGGGCGGGCGCTCTCAGGAAGGACTCAGACCACATCAACTGTGCTTGGTCAATGTCATGTCTAAGCCTAGGGAGCAAGGAGGGAAGACGACACTGGGCTCAAGTGAATGGTCAGAGCGGACAAAACTGAACACCGATCTCATCTGCAGGCAGGACCCCAGCCGCAGGCTTGCGTCTCCAGGGAGGTCTTAATGTCAGGACGGGGTGGGTTTCACAGTAACCCAGTTTTTTATTTTCTTTCTCCCTCTCCATTATGTCACATTATTGGTAAGTGTAAGGAACACCAAGTGCAGAATGTTGAACATTTCTCCCAATCTCAATGCAATTTAGTAATAGAGGCAATTCTTCACAGGTTTTTTTTTTTTTTGTGATGTTAACGTAAGATTGGGCACATATCCGTGCTTTGGAAGCTTTGGCAATCTTTAAGCTTAGTGTCAGCGCTGGAGATTTCTGTATTGTTACCATTAATACCTCCCTCTGCCCTTAAGACCCTGAATCTGAGTGAGGGGAAGAATTGGATGTATCTTCCACAGACCCTGAGCCTTGCCTTCTGGGCCTTCATCCCTCAGCTGATCTCCAGCTCCGCATCAGGCACCAGCTCAGGTGGCCGCAGCTCCCCACCTACACACCCACCCCTGGCTGGCTGAGGGCACCAGGCCCCAGAGCCACGCAGCAGGAGTTGTGTCTGAGCTACTGAACTGCAGCCAAAGCTGCAAGGAGTGGGGTGGGCGGGCTTCCACTCCTGCTCCACCCTTTCCCCCAAAACCAGGATTGTGTGACAACCTCCCCCTCTGTCCCATTTCTGTCCCACCCCAGGCATTATGTACTGGCACCCGCCTTCATTTAGACTGGCCTGGGCCTTTGCAGCGCCTCTCCTACCCCTATCCCTTCTCACACACACACACACACACACACACACACACACACACACACATTGCTCTGCACTCTTTCCCAGGCATGCTGCACTGCCAAGAATAAGCCCCAAAATAAGGTGTCTTATGGGGGGGAAGGCTGATATCTATGTCTCTGAGCTTGTCCAAGACCTTGAGAGCCCCGCCCCTGGCCCCAACACCCCTGCCTGTTCAGAGCGTCCTTCCAGCTGCCTCTCGGAGTCATCTGTAATAGGCAGCCCGGTTAAACCAGCAATTTCTTCATGGCTGCAGGAGACGACTTGGGAACCCTGAGTCCACCCCAGAGGGCCCAGGGGCGTCTTCCTTTACCCCTCACCTAACCCGTTCTGAGGCGGGGTGGATGCATGCGGTAGGGCCGTGGCAGGACAGGTCCCAGCTCTGGTCTCTCAAGGAGCTTTCCTGGGCACGGCTGCACACTCCCATCTCAGTCCCTACCGCGCTGCTCTGCTGCCTGGGATCTGGATCCGCTCGGAACCTAGGACACCTGGGCCCAGGCCAGGTCAGGGATGCTTGGAATTGCCACCCCCCTTTGCTCACCACACCCACCCGAGTGGTCCCAAGGGACAGCCCTTCGCTCCCTCCAGGGGCACTTCCTTAAGAACTTAGAACTGGGGGCTTCTACGGGGGCCCAGACTTTGCTGGAATAGGAGGTGAGGTCCCGCTTTGGGGATAAGAAGGGAATGTCTGTTCTCTGCCCTCCCACCTCACCCCTCACATTTTTCTAATTCCCTTCTTGGTACTTCACACCTCCTCTTGGGCGGTGATGACCATGTTGTTTCATGATGCTGTTATTTTGCTCTGGGTTTCATTGCAATCCATGATTCATTCAACAAATAAGTTTCGAGTGCTGGTGGCACTGTGCCAGGCTCTGTGCTGGGCCTAAAAATTCAGCTATAGACAAACAAGATGTGTCTCTTACCCACACGGAGCTTACAAATTAACAATAAATCACCCAAGTAATATGTAGTTATTTGGTGACAAGTGTTACTACGGGATCCAACCGAGAAAGACAGAATTGTAATGAAAGTTTGCCTGTGGGTTTCTACACCATTTCCTGGTCTTCAAGTGCTCAGGGGTGGTGGGCAGAGCTCTGGGGTAGAAGTCAGAAGTCCTGGGATTCCCGCGGGCTTTGCCACTTTCAGCTGTGGTGTCTATGGCTCTTACGGAGCCCACACACCCTGGAGCCACTCCGATCTCAGCCAGCATAAACGAGGACGTTGTTTTCCGGATCCTCCCCCTCCTCGAGGGCAAGCCCCTATTTTATTTCTCCTTGAAGCCTTCAGTGCCTCAAGAAACGTTGAATTAAGGAAATAAAGCCTCTTAGCACCTGTTTCCTAGGCTGTGAAAATGCTTATAACCTGCTCTGTGCTGTGCTAAGGACTCAGGCATTTAAGGATGAGAGCATGTGCACGAGTTTGTAAATCACAGAAATGGCTAGCAAACGGAAGGGGTTATTACTTCTGGTTCTG